ATAGCGACGTATACGACAGGCCAACACATGCTGGATTTTGGCGGAATATATGAATCGACACTGCTGTACGTATGTACTGAGTTCTTGAGTCTTGGAGCTTCGGTAGCCTGGCTGCCGTCAACCAGGGTTATCACCACCATGCACTACCCAGGCCTAAAGCCAGGCCAGAGCCTCGGAATACGTGATCTTTTTTTTTTTTTTTGAGATCGGGCGAAAATCAATGCGCGCGCGGATGTCATCCATAAAATTAAATCGGTGTGGCCTAAACGGAACCTATAAGGAAGTGTTAAAACAAAACTCAAAGATACATCGACAGATATGGGAAGAGATAGCCCGACATCGCGAGACCCTGGATCGCGAGAATCCGCGAGACTTTCTCGACCTCTGTCTGCTGGAGCTGGAACTGCAGGAGAAGGTGGGCGGTCTGACAGATGAGAGCGTCTTGTACATGACTCAGGACCTCTTCATAGCGGGTATGGACACTACCACCATCACCCTGCTCTGGAGTTTGCTCTTCATGACTGTGAACCCCGACATCCAACATAAGGTACTCACCGCCTATCTACCTCTGAAACGTGACTATCGCCATCTTGTTTATGCTTTCATGTACTTAGATATGTATCAATTTGCACTATCATTTTTTCTGACTGATTCTCATACATCCATCCTAATGATTCTGACCGACCTTTTTTATTATAGTTGATTCTACTGATTCGGATGAACCATTGTACACTCTCTTTAATCCTACTGATTTCGATGCGCCATTGTGTACTCCTATTCATCCTACTGATTCTGATGCACCATTGTACACTCTCATTAACCCTACTGATTCTGATGAACCATTGTACACTCTTATTCAGCCTACTAATTCTGATTCACTCTTTGGCACTCTTATTCATCCTACTGAATCTGATGCACTCTAATTCATCCTACTGACTCTGATGCACCATTGTACACTCCCATTCATCCTAGTGATTAAGATGTATCCTCACCCACTCTTAATTATTCTGATAATTCTAATGCACCGTTAATGTTATGTATTAAACTGATCTTTCCTTGTTTTTCTGCCCTGAAATTACATGATATGCCCTAATATTTTGCTTTACTGGCTTCAAATTGTACTGGATGTCTTAAAGTAATTAGTTATGTATGCCCAAACAGGTGCAGCAGGAGCTTGATGCCGTTGTTGGTGAGGGTCTGCCCGCCCTGTCCCACCGTTCCCAGTTGCCCTACGTGAACGCCTGTCTGCTGGAGGTCATGAGGATCCGTCCTCTTCTTCCCTTCTCAAATCCCCACGCGACCACGCAAGACGTCAAGGTTATGGGGTTTGACATCCCTAAAGGCACTCAAGTAAGATGTCTTTCGTTAAGTTCTTTAAAAATGGTATGTAGGGGATAGCTTCATACTAATAGTATACTTAAATCAATGTAAAGAATTGTTTTCCCTCGAGTTTCCTCTTCATTCCCTGTCATGTCGTAAAATGTGGTGAAGCCATCCGCTACATTTGCTCCAAAGCAAATGAGTGTCTTTCTAGTTATCTCACGTTTCCTCTTTGATCCAGGTCCTGCCGAACCTGTACTCTCTCCACATGGACCCCGCCTACTGGCCTGATCCGGACCGGTTTGACCCCGGAAGGTTTCTGGACGCGGAAGGAAACGTCATCAACAATCCTGAGTCCTTCATGCCCTTTTCAGGAGGTAAATATCAGACTTAGTTTCATGTTGATTATTAACTTTAAGCGACAGTAATGATTACACAGTCAGTTTGTAGCTGATCTTACTTCTTAGCATTCTTTATTTCCAGGTCGGCGTGTGTGTCTCGGTGAGCAGCTGGCCAGGATGGAGCTGTTCCTGTTCTTCTCGACCCTGCTGCAGTCCTTCACCTTCAAGCCGCCAGAGGGCGCTCCTCCTCCAAACACTGACGGCTACTTTACGATAGCGCTGAGGCCACATCCGTTTCAGTTCTGCGCGATACCACGTTAGTTACATGCTTGAAAAGTAGATGTATAATTGCTATCTTTATGGAATGTGTGTGTGTGTGGGGGGGGGTATTAATAAGGGTTAATGCCCTGCCTCGAGGTACTAGGTGTATATGATAAGATGATCTCTGGTCAGTTGCGATAATTACCGAATGAACCATCGAGTGTCCGTAGCAAACGCAATGATTTATGAAGTGGCTATCGCATATGACTAGTAATTATCTAACCATATACACAGAGGATAAAGTGGGGCATCAACGTTACTATATATCATGTGTTTCCCAATGTTTGAGGCTAGCATGAGGTTTCATAGGGATGGGTTGTTATTATTAAATTTGGTATGTATGAAGGCCTCTGTTCCCTGTTACTTTAGTAGATTTCTTTCCCACAAGTTATGATTTTTTTTGTGGCGAACGATTTATTATGGAAGGAAAAAAGTGATGTAGATTTCACCTCCCTAAAAGCTTGTTCTGTCATTGCACGGTCGTTTGATGTCTTTCATTAAGAGTATAAATAAAGAAAAAAAAATTAATGAAATGTCAGCATCCATCGGTAGCCATCACCTATCTGCCAAAAACCTATTTAAATAAATGATATCCATAAGCAAGAACACCAGTAATGACCAATTAAATATTTTCACAAATATCATCAACACATTCCAATGATGGAAGCCTAGTAGCCCAGTCTATTCACAGTTTATTATATAAGAATGAATGAAGACCTTTATTGTACATTTTGCCCCACTGGGCTAAAGACAGGTCACATATTGACAAAGTACATCAATGTTGATAATAAAATTGCTATAGTACACTAGTACTTTCAACTTCCTCTCGCTTTCTAGTAATCTTATTATATAGATCACATCATCTTACATGTGTAGTAATGTGGTAGTAATTAATACAAGAATGTTAAAGTACATGTAGGTTATAATATACCTTAATTATATTCATTTCTGCTATTGATTTTTGCTAAATACCTTTATTTACGCTATTTAATTTTTCCATATATTGTTACCTATTACACTTCTCAGTCAGGCTCTCTTTATAGATGCATTATGCAGGCAAGTTTGAAAATTCTAATGCAGTTTTAAATTCTAGTATTTAAACTTACGTGTATTAAATCCACATTCAAGACAAGAATAATTTCTAATGATTCCCTGTCTATCTCATTCCTGATCTATTTTAAAGGCCGTTAGACTAATCTTAATACATGTTGTTAGACACGTTAATTTGTCTACAAACATACAATGTTTGTAAAATTATAGACTTAATACTGTGTCTAACGTCCGCAAAAGACTAGTTAGCACTTGTATATTATCAAATCTGAGTAAGAGTCCCATCGAGTACAAAATTGGGTGTGTTAATCCCCATGCTGCAATGATCTAGAATCTTTGAAATGATCCCCACCTCCCATTCTCCGACCCAGCATTCTCCTCCGCCTGCCCCCCTACTGCCGAGAGAATGCCCAGCCTGACTGTTTACTCCAAACACCTCCCGTATCTTCACCTTCGCATCTTCGTCAACACATTTCATACCGAGACAATCCATGGCTTTTATTACCATCTCCTCCTTGTACTTACACAGCTCCTCGTACCTCAAGATGACATGGAAAAAATGGTTTTGATCTTGTTCTGTTAGCTCGTGAGCCTTTTGCATTAACTCGAGCCAAGCACATACGGAGAACCACACAATACCATGTGGGACAGGGATAGACACAAAAACAGGGTTCTCCCGCAGGGGAGTGACAAGCAGATCGTTAAAATTGTTACTGTAAAAAGAATCTAGCTCGAGGGACGTTTGGAGCCAGTACTTCTAGTAGCGACCTCCGGCCATCACATGGGCGTACGAGTCCACAGTCCCCAAAAGGTCCCGGTACAGAAATATGTTCTTAACCTTTGGCAATGCCCTCTGGAGGAGATCTGCTACTGGCAAAATCTGTATGCAATTGGACATTTATTTGTTTGTAAAGCATCAATGGTTTTTAGGGACCAAAATTTATACACTGACCATTTACACTGGCAATGGTCAAAGAAACCTTTATCTACGTTCTTTACTACAATATTGGTAAAAAAAATGTTGATAATGATGATCTGTTTCAATTTGCTATCTATGTATTTTTGGTCTTTTGGAGTGTCCTTTTTGTGATAGACCTTGTTAAAATGGGTAGTGATGATATTTGGCATATGGGTAGGTCTTAGGTAGTAATTTACTGACCTGTCCCCGCATTTTGTAACAGATCGTTGTTTTAGAAGAGTCCTCCTGGAGTAGAGTGTAGTTGAAGAGAGTGTTAGTATGTTTTATGACGTCCAAAAGCATCTCCATATCATCTTCAGGTATATCCTTGTTCGAACGGACGTACCGACTGAAGTTGGCGTACAAGTCAGACTCTGACAAAGTGTGCATTTTTCCGCTCGCTTCCAGAGCCTTAATCAGCAATGTCGAACCACACCGCACTGTAGATAAGCAAAAAAAGAGAGAAATAATTACAGCGTTAATGATAATTTAGTCAGTATACAATTAAAAAAAGGACAA